ACTCCTGATTGTTCTGTTACTACTTGTCTGGTGCTGAGATCAGTGGCATGTCACCACACCACCATGCCTGGTAGCTCATCTTTATTGGATGTTCCCTTCAGTGTTACCCTTTGTGCCTCCTGACACTTATAACCTCCATAATTGTCAGCTGAATGAAAATATTAAGAGAAGAAAAAGAGATTGTTAATGGCTAACAATAATATAAATAGAAGGCAGTAAATGCTAAATGGTAGTGGAATGTGACAGAGACAGTAGGGAAGGAAGGAGGAAGGACATTGCCTCCCCTCTACTGTCGCAACATTGTCAATGTTTCCTCACTGAGGGTCTTTATCCATTTAGAAAACATTAGAGATGTGTGTGTGTGTGTGTGTGTGTGTGTGTGTGTGTGTGTGTGTGTGTGTGTGTGTGTGCTTATTGTCATGCAGAGATCCAAGTCTTCATCCTTGTTGTATGTGAAATAAACCTTCCAGAACATCCAAAGCCTTTAAGGGCCACTCCCTAGCATCATTCTGGCAGCCTCATCTTCTTTCATCCAACATTTGTTTAAAAATCTGGAGGGAAACACGGTTTTCCTTCATCATTTCCCCATAAATGTCTGTGTCACTTGACAAGACTAGGTTGAGAGTTGCCAGGTATGGAATTCTGTTCTCAAAACTTTAATACATTTACACATCTGTATATTTATATATGTGTTTGCACACATGTGCCAGAGCATGGTTGTGGGTCAATGGACAAGTTGCAGCCATGAGTTCTCTACTCTCACCATGTTCATCCCAGGGTCATACTCAGGAGTGCTAATTCTGTGGATTCCTTGACTCTGGGTGGAGTATAGACAGCTCACAGCTAAGAGGAGTGTGGATGACAACAGAAGGCAGAGGTGGTGACCTGGACCAAATTTGATTCATACAGAACATATCATCCTCATTAGAAGAGTTCATCAGCACCAATGAGGCATGGGCAAGCCATAGAGAATGTCTTGACATTCACCACAACATAAGGGCTCTTGGAGAGAATAAGAAAGAGACAATAAATAATTGTTAGCCAGGCATCTATAGAAGATGTGTTGGGGCATTTGAGGAGTAACATAGGTCTTAGAAAATCTACAAATTCAAGATGACAACATACTCTTAATCTGTTTTTCTCATAAAGATTTAATATTGGCTTATTTATTTCTATGGTTCCTGTTGCCAAAATAAGAAAAAGTCCAAATTCACTCAAATGGAACACATAGTAATATATTGATATGAGTGCATCAGATGGAGATATTCTAGCATAAATGAGAAATGGGAAGACAGTTGTCTTAGTTTCAGTGGGTCAAGACTTGGCACCCCCAAATACATGCAACTCAGAGAACAATTTCTGGCAGATTTTTTTATTCTTTCTATCAATAAGGTGGGTCCCAGGGATATAAATGCATGTCTCCAGGCTTGTCTGCATTACCTTTACCTGCTTAGACATTTTCCAGTCCATCATCAAAGCCACAGATTTTAATAAGCTACATATCTCTGTATATGGTCTCTGTGTATATCTATCCCAATTTGGAAATATTTACCCTCAAAATGAATGTTTGTCACAGTTAATGAAGGGGAAGAATCAGAGTTGGGAGAATTTTAAATCTTCTACGATAACTAACAGTTTGATGTATTTCACTTCATAGGATACAACAGGGTGAATTTTCCATCCCCGTCATAAATAATGTACTAATTTTGAACCTAACATATTGCACGTGCTAGGGAGGTATTCTGTCTCCAAGTTGTATTCCTGGCTTTTAACTCTATTCATCTGCTACAGCTACTACAGGGCAGACATCAAAATGAGCTTTAACTGTCAATTTAGCCCTCATAAGAATGACCATGTGAGTAGCTGACAGAATGCTTTGAAGACTAGGCATGCTTATCTGAGATAGAAGAAGTGCCCCAGTACACATTACACACTCTACACAGTTTAGTCTGAGAAAGGTTGATAGTAAACTGTTTTCTCCCTCCACAAATGCAAGGAGAAGAAACCGTGTTAATCTATCTGTAGCATTTATCAAAAGAACCAAAGCTATGCTGAGGATTCACATGGAGGTAAGGCATGACTGAACATAGGCTCCTTCCCAATAATGGAAAGATGGACAGGGAAACATATGCTGCAGTTCAGTGATTGGTAGTGTAGGATGAATGAAATCTCAGCTGGTTCCAGTGTGTCTACAGGTATTATGTCAGAGTCAGTGAAGAATGAGAAAGTGACCAATGAAAGGAAGGAACTGAAGTGAACCACCTGCTTCTGTGGCTTTAGAGATCTTAAAAGCTATGGTTTGAGAGACACAGACTTGAATTTACAAGGATAATTGCTTCACACATTAACTCTCTGACTTACTGTGAGTCTCAGGTCAGATCCATTCCAGGAGAACTTCAGAAGAATAAAGCCCACATCTGAAAGAAACCTTTCCTCAATACACCATGACTTCTGCTGTGGTGAAAGTGTAGCATCAACCATCCCTCTCCCTTTCAAGCCTTGCAGAGATACACTCTCTGCCAGAGGCATGTGGCTTTTGCTGCAGATACTATCCACCCAGACAAATGTGAAGTTTCCACTTAACACTGCTTAGCCGGTGCATCACAGGTATATCTTACCCCATCTCCATCCCCAGGCGGGTCTTAAAAGCCTGCATTTCATCTGACGGGCCTACTCTGCATTGTCATCTAAATGAAAGGTGACATAACTGCTCCAACTCTGACTTAAGAGATGCTGAGCGATGATCCTGAACCCAGGAGCACTCTGCTTGAATGCCTGGATCCCAAGTAATCTCCCATGCCTACCTCATGGTCCTGTCCCTACAGTTCTCCAGAAATATCTCTCTTTGGTTAGGTGTAATCCAGTCCAACTAATGCACTAGAGAGGCTAGAAGGACAAAAGTCAAGTGCAGGGCCTGGAGAGATCACTCATCCTTTAAGAGGATGTGTAGCTCTCCCAGAGGACCCAGAAATCAGCTAATAATCTTATGTGACTCCAGTTCTGTGTGGAATCCATTGCCCTTTCTGGCTTCAGTGCAAACTGATTGCTTGTGGTGCATAGAAAACAGACAAAATACCCATATACATAAATACAAGTAAATGAATCTCAAAAATTTCCATGCAAAATGAATGGTCAAGGCAAGAGCACATTAAAAAGACCACATCTCAATATGTCTTAGAAGGTTACTACCCCTGCATTGCACTGTCACTGGTGCTGTATTTCAGGAAAAGGAAGGCAGATATCTATAGGTTTCCTCATTTCTTCTATACTCCAGTAATGAATGTTCTCACTTCCTGAGATGCATTAGAAAACATAGGTGTATTTCTGAAAAATCTGATATGAATGATCACGTCATGAACATGTGTGTATCTATTCTCCGTTTTTTGAAGTAGCTAGACATGTGAAGTCTAGTTTTATATGGATATTTTTCCATCATGAAGTGGATATTCATGGAGTAGGCCATGAGATTCACACCCAAGATACCATCTTGGTTTGTAACCCTGTCTAGCTGAGAACTCACAATGTAGCCTAAGCTTCCTGGAACTTGCAGAGATCCACCTCTGTCTGTTGAGTTCTAATGTTACCACACCTGACTACAAAGCTACTTTCAGAATTAAGAGAATGTACTAGGTTTATCTGTCCCCTATGGGAGAACTTACCCTGTTGGAGGAGGGCAGGAGGGGTGGGGGAAATGTGGTAGGCAGGAGAGGGAGGAGCGATGAGTGTTGGATCTGTTGTTGGTAAGTAAAGTCAATAAAAATTTAAAGGAAGAATGAAGAGTTGGAAATTTTTTTTTATTTGTGAAATTACAGAAATTTGACTGAATAGGGCCTTAAAGGGGTGTTTAGTATATCCAATGTATAGCTTTAGCAAAATATAAAATCAAAGAAAGAACAAAGCACCAAAAAATAAAAAAAACAGCAAAACAAAACAAAGAAAAACAAAATCCAAATTCATGCAAACCCCAAAACAAACCAAAACTACTTACATAAGAAGCTTTCGCTTCATGCAGATATCCTGCAGTCTGTGGCTGGCTTTGGATGGAAGTTGGAAGACAACCCTGAATTGATATACCCTCATCAAGACAAGTGTAGTCATGCCACTTTGGGGCTTCTAGATTAAGTCCTTGCCAAAGTTGATCTTATGCCATGTTGGCCATTATATGATTCTGTCTGCCAACATGTGTCTGTGTGCCCATTCAAGAGCAAAAAATGACAGGGGGAGCATTTGCTACCAAAAGACATAACAGCTCATGGTGACATCCTTCCTAAACCATCTCTCAGAACAATTCACTTCACCATCACCTGTGCATGAAATTGCGTAGTTCCCACACTGGACTGGAGTGAGAATATGATGTTTCCTTTGTGTGGTCTGTCTGGATAGCAGCATGACATCAACACAGTCTCTGTTGACATATCTCCCTCCACATATGAAGGGCTCAACACTCAGTCAGCTACCAAAAGTTTGTAGCAATAAACTTTCAGAGTAACTATGAGTGGAAACATATTCTGTCTCCATGTTTTTGTGGCCCTCACTGGGAACACTTGCTGGTAGATGTCAGCTTTTTCTGCATAACTCTTGGTGTTTATTCTTTTGAATCTCAAGCATCTTCTTGATGGTTTCTTTATTCCATAACTAGTGAGTCAATAGACACATGGATCAGATTATGGATGGATGATCTTCAGGGCAGATGATATTTGCCTCACTGGTGATTTCACAACTAGTAGTACATGTCTTGTTCTGAGGAGGCCTTGATCATAGAGTGGAAAATGTCAGGGTTTCTAGTTGACTATGGATTCCTTCAGCCTCCTCAGTTCTCATAAAGGGTGCTGTGAGAGAAGAAAAGGCAATCAGATCTAAAAACAGCCTTGCTAGGTCACTAGCTAGATAAATTCAGGGCCTATTCACACATAGGAAACCAGAATCAAGGAAGAACTCCACCCCACAAATGCCGTGTTCCTGGGGATGGGATGTCATGATGGCTCACTTGCTTATGACACTTAGTGGTCCTGCTGCAGCAGCTCTGTCGGCAGGAGGCTCTCATCCTGAGCTGTGGATTGTTCCAGCTCATGTTGGAGACTTTCTGACCTAGAGGAGGAAGTTAGTAAGGGCAGAGTCCTGGTGGGGATCAACCACATCACCTGTCATTCAGTGATATCACAAAACTCAATTGTGCTAGACAGTCAACACTGATCTTTGGCAGCAGTCATTGTATGTACACCTAAGGAATAAGTGTCACAGAATAGTTGAACCTTGAATTATTTTCTGCCCTTAACAAGTATCAGATGTTGATATGAATACTATATGTACTGTGCTCTAATGAGAAAGACCTGGACTTTTTCCTACAGTATAGAGACATCATTTAAATAAAAGGAGTAGCATATTAAAGTCATATATAATAGCACAATGGAGATACACAGACTGTTCATGAGGAGTTTCTCATCAATTACCTCATTTTTTCTTGTCCAATTTCTGTTTATTTCTTTCTAGGCAGTGTTAAAATATGCATCTCTTGCTGATTAGATAGATATTCTAGGATGACTGCAAGAGGCCTGAGATTTCCTGCCTGTGCTCCCAAAGTGCTTGTGTTAAAGACATGAACAATGACATACACCTGTCCTTATTCCTGATTTTAATTGATATGATTTTATTTTCCTCTCCATCTTGTACAATGCTGTCACAGGTTTGATAGAGAAAAACTTAAAATTCCAAGCTGTGTTCCTTCTTTTCTTTTTTAGAGGGATTATATGAGTAAGGGTGGTAAATATCATGATGAGGATATCTATAGAAACAACTGAACCAAGCTCAAAAGAACTCAGGATATTTAGACTGACAGTTGTGAACTTCTGCATATGGGGGACTGTTGTGGAGCTGGTTGTGTTTGAGGGGCCCCTGGCAGTGTGATCAGGATCTATTCCTGGTGCATGAGCTGTCTTTCTGGATCCCATTACCTATGGTCGGACACCATGCTCTTGCTTGATAAAGTGGGCAGGGGCTTGCTCCTGCCTCAACAGAATGTATCAGGCTTAACTGTCCTACCATGGGAGAACTTACCCTGTTGGAGGAGGATATGAAGGGTCAGGGAAGAAGGTGAGTGGGGAGTGGGAGGAGGGAAGAAAGGGGGATCTGTGGTTGGAATGTAAAATGAATAAAAAATAATTTTCAAAAGACCACCTCACTTTATATACATAGACTTAATAAAACTTTGCACCCAGGTAATACACAAGATGGAGCCTCTCATGCTAGAGCAGTATTTCTTGAGCCATGTGTCTGAGAACATTGTCACTGCATGGTGTCTGGCAATAAACAAGAAGAGCTGTGTTATCCTTAGGCCTACAGCTGGGAATCTACATCCTGGCACTCTAGAGGAGTCTGTTCAACAACACTCGGTGAAGGTTCAGAGACATCTACCTGGGTTCATCCTGCCAATGACTAAACGTATTATATCCCCAGGACACTTTACATGGGAAATGCTTAAACAATGAAGACAGCCAGTGTGACATCAAATAATGACAAGGGTGCAAATCTCATCCCACAGGTGCTAATCCTGAATAAAAATGTAATTTCAGTCAGATATGGTGAGGCACACCTTTAAATCCAATCACTTGGGAGGCAAAAGCAGTCAGAGCTCTGTGAGTTCAAGGAAAGCCAGCTGAGAACATACCAGAGAGATCAGAATGGAGTAGACACAAGTGTACAGACCCAGGGAGTATCAAACATATTGTTTGTTGAACAGGAGTTCTTGTTGTTGGGACCAGCATAATACTCTGAGTTCCGAGTTGGTCTACCCATGCTTGGAGCAGGGAGTCTTGCTGATAAGCAAAAGCCCACAAAGGACAGAGAGCCTTGGTACAGGGGACCCAATTAGCTCCATACTCCAACTTCAGCCTGGGTTCCTACCTCATCTGGGAGACAGTCAAATGATGCTGCAGCTTTATTGCCAGGTGTTTTTGCTGTGTGACCAGCTCCTTCTGCTTCAGCAAGCTCTGGAGTCTCTCTTCCATTCTTTGCTGCTCCTGTTCATTACAAGATTGTGTCCTTATTGGAGGGTTGAGTATAGTATAGTCAATACATTCTCACACATGTGCAAGCACACACACAGAATTCCAAGAGCTTATTGGTCAGTCAATCTCACGAAATTTCAAGCTCATGGGCACATGAGAAAGCCTGCTTGAAGTTCATAAGACAGAGACTGACCAAGAGAGAAACCCTGTGGTCTCCTCTAGCTGTCATCCACATGAAATATGCACTGCACTCCCACATGCCTCTATTACACACACACACACACACACACACACACACACACACACACACACACACCACGGAGAGACAGAGAGAGACAGAGAAAGGGGTGAAACGAAAACAACAAAGTGATAGAGGAGCAGTTATCTTTAAAATAAGCACACCAGCCTTTAAGCAAAGTCCCCAAACTCAGCTTTCCATTCCTGGGAACTAAAATCGCCTATGGGGGCATACTCTTGAACTAGTGGAGATTGTTAGAGAAATTTTTACTCTTGAACTCAATTCTGTGTGTAGCAATCCTCCCATCATAATGACATGTAGCTGTGTGATGAGTGATTGACCTGTTTCTCCCCATTGACTACAGGTTCAAGAAGAGTATCAGGGATTGCATGCCAATGACCAAGATTCTCAAAGGAGACTCACTTCTCAGAAATACTAATGCACAGACACAGAATGAACAATTTTATGTCATGAAGTGGGTGGATGGATGGGTGTATGGATGAGGAAAGTGATGAGATAGAGCACAGGTGTCTTGATGGGTAGATTTGGTAAGGTTACATAAGTAAATGATGCTGGACCTAACTGTGACCCAGCTGCCTGTCCCTACCTGCTGTTGCTGGTTGTGGAGGTCACTGATCTCTTCTTGATCCTTACTGAGCACTTGCAAGTCACCCAAGTGGTGCTTCACCATGACCCAATCCTCCAGTATGTTCTCCTTCTCTTGCCTCAGCATATCCAATTTCTTTTTGAGCTGACTCTGCTCCATCAGGAGGCGGCTCTGCAGATCACTGGAAACACACTCCAAATAGTAAGACCATGTCAGCCACCTCTGGTCACCCACAACGCCATGCCTCAACAACCCAACCCTATCCCAGGTTCACAGGAAGATGGAAGCAAGAACCTTTAACAGTAATGACAGTTGCACTCAAGGCCAAAAGCAGAGAACAGTTATTTCCTGCAAGAATCAAACTATTTTTGAACCCCCCCCCCCAAATAACAGAAATTCATGCACTTCCATAAATAAGAGGAGTACTCCACCTGTCCTAATCAGTCCACTGTCATGAGGAAACACCAGCAGGTAATGTGCAAGTACACTTGGGGAAGTAGGAGACCCAAAGGGTGCATAGATCCCGTATCAGTCAGCTCCTGCCTGACAACCTTCTCCTGAGGACAATTGCTCATCTAACCAGTGGTTCTCAGTATGTGGGTTGTGAACCCTTTGGGATCTAAGGAGCCTTTCAAAAGGGACACATATTAGATGGCCTATGTAGACATTTACATTAAAATTATTAACAGTGGCAAAATAAACTTAAGACAATGCTACAAAATAATTTTATGTTTTGGGGTCATCAAAAACAATGAATCAATGTATTAAAGTATCACAGCATTAGGAAGGCTAATAACCACTGATCTGGAGCTACTGAATGACAATATGGTGCTTGGAAGAGCTACTAGTCTCTTTAAACCTTAGCAAACCTAAGTAAAGAGGCATAAGTCCAAAGGCTGCTTGTCAATGCTGCTGGCTAAGAAGCAGAAAATCTAGAAGCACATCTGCAGACCCTGCAGTTCAAACACAAAGAAAATTGGAGTTGGCTATTGTACAACAGTTGGGGTCCCTGCCAAGATAAGCACTTACCAAAAGAAGACTTTCCTTTTGGTCAGCTCACTGAGCTTCTGTGAGGCCTCTAAATTCTCATTCTCAAACTTCTGCAGGGCTGACATGACCTGCTGATGTTCCATCTTGAGCTTTTCCCAGAAAGGATTTGGCCTGTGCTAGGGCCTGGACCCAGAAGCAAAGAATTCCATGAATACAGGCCTCAAGGTTCACATGAATTCAGTGTATGTTCTATATTACTGGAATTAATAAGATGCCACTTAATGGCTCCTATGTACTGGGACCTCTGGCTGCTTATTACACTTGCTCTTCTGGTCCCAGGCCAGCAGAGTCAGGATGTTAAGACGGATACAACTGGGGCTGAATATGCTCCCTCAGGAGTCATGCCCAGCTTGTTATGGAGTTCCCACGAGTTTATCACAGGTCTGGGCCCACCAGAAACTGTGATGTTTCTGCTGTCTTCAAATAAGAGATTCTCATTCCAGGGTGCTTACATTGCCATGGAGGCTAAAATCACACCATGGGAATTTCAGAGGATGGGACTCAATATTATGACAGCTTCATAAATTCCCCCAGGGCATTCCCAGTTGACACCAAGGTGAACACACTGACAAAGGGCTATGCTACTCAAAACGGGGCTCCCAGTACACCAAGTAGACAACACCTAGATACCGAGACAAGCAACACTTCATGCCCAACCATAGACTCTTGATTGCAGGGTGAAGAGGGACACATATGCACAAACACACAAACATATAGATACAGAAAGATGGAGGAGAGAGAGAGAGAGAGAGAGAGAGAGAGAGAGAGAGAGAGAGAGAGAGAGAGTCAGAGGGAGAAACTGAAAGAGGGAAAGGTGATAAAATGCTCTCATTGAGATGACAAATTAATGCATGCAATTGTGTCATCTTAGAGAGGACCAAGCGCAGCAGACATCAGTACCAGGCCTTGCTGCCACATATTAAGATGTGGTACAAAAACTCTCCAGCTGCTACTAGAAGCATCCAGCACACAATGTCTTTCCAGGCAAGTAAAAAAAAAATAACAGCATTCTCACACTAGCCACCACTTGACAGGATCTCTCCAAATGTATGCTGGGAATTCACACACTACTGCCTCAAATCCTGAGTTATGTGATTCAGGTCACAGGCTCTGATTTTCATTTGAAGGAAGCAGTACAGTTTATGTCCCCATCTCACTCCTGCCCATTATGTCAGGTTTTGCTTCAGGGAAGCATTTAGAGAAATGGTGTTGGGCAAAGGGACACCAACCTCCCAAAAGCCTGTTTCTTAGACAAAATAAACTAATGCACAGTGCATTAGTTTAGGGTGAAATTGTGGAACCGAGAAAGTCACCATGGAATTTGAAACAGTAAATACCTGTTGTCCAAGGATCCTTCGGTTACTAAGATGAGGCAATCTCTCAGATCATTCCGTTGGGCGGTCATCACCTGGAGCTGAGTGGTCAGGCTCTCCACCTTCTGCTTCACTTGCTTCTTTGTGAGGCTGGTTGGTGTGGGTGGTGGCTCCTTGGAATGAACACAAGTGAACGTGCATTGTGACAAGACATAGAGAATGAACAGGTCACCCTGAGACCTGAGAAGGTGTTTGAGAAAGGATGTAAGCAAGCAATTCAGTGACACCCCAAAGAATTTTGCCCTGGACTGAGATGCCCCCGTTGGGCATCTTAGGTCTCCCATCTCTGTGATGGGAGATAGGTGTCTCAGCCAGCTGATTTCCTCTGCTCTTTTAGCACATGTTTTAGGTAACTAAGGAGAGAGCCTCCTCAGGCTTATTAACAGCTCTGCACTCTGCATTTAACTTGGCTGCAGGGTTCAAATGCAAGATAAAATTGACACAGTCCACAAGCCTTCAGGTCTTTAAAGATGCAATAATATCCTGACAGGTCAGTATAAGCACATGGCTAAAATGGAGAAGCTACACAACGGCAGAATATGGTCACCATCCTGACCAAGACGCCTCAGTGACAAAGGAGGGTGCATAGAGCTGGTTGGCTGTAGATAAATGAAGACACTGAGGTTGAAGTATATTGATGACCTGCTTTTTGCTAGGCACAGTTCACTTGAACTTCCTACCCTAATGCTGGCCTTTTTGTCCCCTCTCAACCCCTACCCTCCTATAGGATTGAAAGGCAAGATCTCCCAGCACAACATCTTTGGCCTTACTCGCTCCTGATTTCTGGGACAGCCAAATTACTCTTCTGGAATCCTTGAATTTCAGGAGCCATGACAAGCAGGAAAGTCCAGTTGGTTCCCAGAGACTCCTACCTCCTGTGTCCCATTACTGGAAGATTCAGCTCAAGCCCATGTCCTGCAGGAACATCCCAATTTCTTGCCCACAACTTACTGTACCATCTTCTGGACCATTTCTTTCTTGATCGTTCACATTGGAATGGCTGAAGGCCAGCTTGTGTCTGCCTCTCTCTGGTTTCTCTTCCCTCTCCTTTCTCTTGACCCAATAGAGTCCTGAGTCTTCCCAACATGTTCATGGCTGAACTGTAAGGGCACTGAACCAACTGTCCAAAGGCAGTTGGTGTTGCTACAACACAGGTGACATCAGATAACATTCTAAAGTCTCCAGGATACAATAGAATGTCCAGGCATGAGACACCCCTGATGTCATGGGGAACTGACATTGCCTCCCTGCTAACCAGATCTCCTCATAACTCTTCCCAAGTCAGGTTTCCCATTCTAGGAATCTTTCCTGGGACTGAAGAGAAATGCTTCAGTACCCTTTTGTTCCATAGCCAGAGATTGCTCTCTGATTTTTTGGAAATGCCTCAGTACTTCCATGTGGGAAAGAAAGTGAGTGTTCATCCTGTTCAAGTATATATCCCGAAGGTAACAGTATTATAGACATTGATGTGAGGTATGATTCTCCACAAGTACCTGCATCTCCTTACTATCAAGAAATGATAGACTTAATGATAATGGAACGGACACTTTTTAAACAACTTCCTGGTATGGAGCAAAAACCGAAATTACAGCCAGTAGATAATATGCAGCTTATTTGATTTAAATTGATGACCATGGCAGATTGCGTTAGCATGTTACATGGGATCTATAGATAATCACTACCCAGTACATCAGCTTTTAAGAGTTTCTGAAAATGCTCAATGGGTATGACCCAAAATTACATCTAAAAATCCTGTAGAGTTTGCTCTTAGTGAATTTACAGATTGTTCTTCAAAAAGACAAGGAGCATATATTTTATACACAAATTCTTCACACTCCTCAAAATGGATGGTACCTTCCCCTGACTGTACAGCTCAAAGCTAAAAACTTACTATATTCCATCAGTTTGTAGCTAGAGTTTTCCTGCCTGGCCCACAGTCAGGACAAATCTCTATCACCCGCCAGTCCCACAGCCGCTCAGACCCAACCAAGTAAACACACAGAGACTTATATTGCTTACAAAATGTATGGCCATGCCAGGCTTCTTGCTAACTGTTCTTATATCTTAAACTAATCCATTTCTATAAATCTATACCTCGCCATGTGGCTCGTGACTTACCGGCATCTTCACATGCTGCTTGTCATGGTGGTGGCTGGCAGTGTCTCTTAGTATATTTGGTGGTTTTCATCTACAATTATTCTTTCTTAGCTGTCAAGTGTCGAGATGTCTATACTCATAATTGGCTCACTACAGGCATGCATGAAGCCTCTCTCTAGCTAATCAGTTGCAGAGCACAACCTGTGTTTAGCACAGGTCACTGGCATTTCCACAAAAATACAATTGTATCTTATCTAAAACTTGACTTTGTCAAATAGCTCTTATGGGTGTCCATGCTAGGACTCCTTTTACAACTTAAAATTGGTAATGGTCCTGCTTATACTAGCCAATACCTTCAAGAATTTTACACTTTATGGAATATTAACCATGTTACTAAAATCCCTTACTAGCCATAAGATCCAACTGTTGTAAAATGCTGTCTAATAATTAAATTGGCAAGTTTCAAAAATAAAAGGGCAATATTTCTGAACTTAGGTAAAACTACACACAATACTACATTTAGCCAAGTTAACCATTAATTTTTCCACTTTCAAGTATAATTGTTTTCTGCTTCCCTTAAACATTTTGCCTTAAAGTATACATAGACTAAAGAAAATGTTAAGTCAAAAGATAAACAAACTAATCTATGGAGAGAGCCTGATAATCTAATCTTGAGTCAAGGATATGTTTATATTTTTGTGGGAAATTCATGAAGTCCTAGATGGCTTTTGATCTGACCAGGATAGCATCCCCGAGACCACCTAATAATGAAACAACTGAATGTAGACAACAAACCCATGAATGTGGGATGGAGAGTAAACCTATCTTTAACTTGGAGCAAGAGACATCAAAATGCTTTCTGATCACTGAGATTTTGGGGTGAAAACAAGGACACTTACATCACTGAATCAAGAATAATGATTTATTTCTTGACTATATTACATGTTCACACTAACCTTCTCAATGAAAGATATATTTTGATAAGAGGAATAAAAGGCACACCTATAATTGGAAGCACTAAGATGTTGTTTTGCCATGATAAGGTTCATTTGTAAGTTTTTATAACCAATCCCAGGAATGGTTACTGGAATATAAAGAGAGGTGTCAAATATGGCATCTATGATCAGTAAAAATACTATTACAGCAAAATATTAGCAGATACTAATCAAGAGATAGATGAAACGATCAATACCCAAGCAAGGGTATTGGTAGAGTGAGTGCACTACTTTATTCAATCTGACTACTACTCACAGTCATGAACACTACACCAGACCTTACTTTGGGAAGCCTATATCAAAGGATTTTGCAGAGCTCTCACTGAGGCTACTTCATTTCAGGAGACACCAGGTAAACATTCCATCATTGAGATTTTAAGAAAAAATTGTAAGAAAACTTTTCCTGATAGAAGGAGCCCTAACTCTTCCTTTCTGGACATGAGAAAACAGTAGCTGACATTCTGCTCAGCAGGGACCTGACTCCTTGCACATTTTACCTTGTTCTGACCCACTGGCGTAATAACTCTGCTCCTCTGACCAGCACTATCATCTTTGTCTACACAGGGGACAATTCCACCTCAATACAGGATTTGGGAAAGCTCTGATTAGTCTGGAGGA